TCATTGATATGTTGTATATCTCCACCATTGTGCCCAAGATGCTGGTTGATTATGTTTTGGGTGATGGGACCATCTCCTTCATGGCTTGCACAGCTCAGTACTTTCTCTACATGGGTTTTGTGGGGGCAGAATTTTTCCTGCTGGGGCTCATGGCCTATGATCGCTATGTAGCCATCTGCAACCCCCTCCGCTACCCTGTTCTCATGAGTCGACGGGTTTGTTGGATGATATTGGTTAGCTCTTGGTTTGGGGGTGCTTTGGATAGTTTCCTTCTCACGCCTATCACCATGAGCCTCCCGTTCTGTGCCTCCCATAACATTAATCATTTTTTCTGCGAGGCTCCCACAATGCTGAGGCTGGCATGTGGGGACAAAGCTGCCTACGAAATGGTCATGTATGTTTGTTGTGTCATGATGCTGCTTGTCCCATTCTCAGTGGTGATTGCTTCCTATGCTCGGATTCTCATCACAGTGCATCAGATGAAGTCGGCTGAAGGGAAGAAGAGGGCCGTTGCCACCTGTTCTTCGCACATGACGGTGGTGACGCTGTTTTATGGTGCTGCTTTATACACGTACATGCTTCCACAGTCCTACCACACCCCAATCAAAGATAAGGTATTCTCGGCCTTTTACACAATCCTTACACCCTTGTTAAACCCGGTGATCTACAGCCTGAGGAACAGGGATGTGACGGGGGCCTTGAGGAGGTTCTTGGCAAGATGTAACCGAGTCTGTGGTGAAACCAGAGAAGAGCGCTAACCTCACAAATTGTCAAGAGAGAGTGGTTTCTATCATTTGCTGTATTGATATTGTTAATAATTCAGGAAACAATCTCTAATCCCAGTTTTGTTGGAGAGTGTATCAAAAGTACTCTGGCCAAGACTTATCAAAGAGTTAAATTTAGCATAACATACACACATGAATAACATCCCTGTTCCATAAATACACTGATGCTTAATCATTTTTAAACATTCCATGGCACTCTCATATCACATTACTTTCTGTACATTTGTTTTTACTTTCTGTACTTTTTATGGAAATGAATCTCCAAAAACTGGCCACTAATGAAGACTTAAGGAGGCCTGATGGTATAGCCGGTTACTTGTGGGGCCACGAACCACAAGGTCAGTAATTGAAAACCACCAGTTGTTGTGTGGAGAAAGACCAGGCTGTCTACTCCTGCAAGACTGTGTCTCAGAAACCCATCAGGGCACTTATATGCTGTCCTATAGGGTCACCATGAGTCAGGATGGACTTCGTAACAATGAAAGTTTGTTTTATTATTTTTATTTTTATATCATTTAGATAAACCAGTAGCAAAATGCTTCCTGTGGTTACAAATATCATAACCAAACTAGCAGGAGAAGTTCTCTTCTGTCCTACAGGGTCACAATAGTATTGAGTGAGTGAGAGTTTAATGTAGATTTTTCTCACCTCTAATGGCTGTTTAGCACCATAACAATGGAATTGATTTTGATCACATTTACTAAGCTTTCCATCAATAAAGTTCATGGGAGGTTTGGGGGTATATAAATGTTAAGTGTATAGAGACTGAACTTAGTAATAATACATACACAGGAAACAATACATCCATAAAATGAAGCCAAGACTTATAAATATGCAAATATCCCTTTTATGGATAACCCCTGAAAAATAGTTTCCTCTTTTATCTAAGTTTGGAGGTGGAAAA